AAGTATGCATGTTTCATTCTTCACATATTTTTTCTGAATCCAGTCACTGAGATGTTGTAGTCTATTTAAAAATCCAGTGCTTGCCCACCAAATGCTTATTTGTATTAGCAGTTTTGCACTGTTTCATATTTTTTGTCACTTTTATGCATTTTTGTCTAAGAAGATATGAAAGCTGAAAACAGTTTTCAAGTTAACATTTCGGTCCAAAGCATGATCTCTTGACCAGGGCTAGACTGAAATTCCAATTCAGAACAGAGCAAACTGTAATCCTATCCTTCTACTGCGTAATGTTGGTAATACAAATAATATGGCAGATACAGCTTTACAGTCGATTTGCCGCAGTCCAGAACTTTTCACTTAGTTTGCAGCCTCCTTTGCGTTGAATTACTTGTATACAAGATGCTATGACAAAGTTGAAGTGCAAGGAAAGAAGGGGAAATAGAGGCTAGAAAGCTATGAAAAAATAAAATAAGATGACTCGATCCATTAAGTTCGGAACGTCTTAACTCGACACTGCAACTGCACTTAGTAGCATGACGCTTGCTACGCAAACCTAAAAGGTGCAAGGAACCACTCTCCAGCTCGACTGAAACCAACTGATTTAGTGCCCTTTTATTGTATATGATTAGAGCATAGATATTTATTTTCACTGAATGTGTGGTACCATAAAGCAGCTTCATTGCAGTACACGTACGCCTGCTGTCCCGAGCCATGGGTCATCATCGAAGGATCTCTTATCATTAAAAGGAAGCCATTGTACTATGTCGTCAATCTCATCATACCAACAACAATTATTACATTAGGTAGCTTTCTGTCCAGTAAGCTTTAACAAAAGTTAGCGAACGTTAAGGCGGGTGTCCAAAAAAGCGCCGAGTGCAGATACTTCAGTTTTAATAATATGTGTTTTTGCAGACTGTTGCAGCGCCAGAGCATTGCACCGTGAAAGTACCTTTCACGGGTCTTTTAAGTTTCAGTTATTGCTTCTACCTAAAACTTGTCACACTCTTCCAGTTTGCACAGCAGACTGAGAAATATAATGTCCTACAAACTCGATCTCGCCTCATAAAGCAGTTTACAGATTTGATTTGGTTTTCTACTGTTTTTAAAAATAGCGTGTATCTACTAATTAAGCTTCGTCCGACTTATTTTGTTAAAGTGCTCCAGCATCTTGTAACTAATATAAAAGTTTGTCAAAAGAATCTTCTACGAGTCGTAAAATTCGTAATTCCGATCTAACGATTTTTCTTATTATATGGTACGGAGAAATCTGTCTTTACTAGTCTTGCTATTGCTATAATTTCCGAAAAATCTTTTACATATTAGCGTGTTGCAGTGGCGATTGTTGGGTTCTTTACACCAGCTTCAACTGGAGATGAGAGGAGAGAAAAAATCACGATGGGCATAACTACTCTACTTGCAATGTTTATTTTGATGCTCATGGTTGCTGATCAGATGCCAGCAACTTCCGATTTCGTCTCTTTCATTGGTAATTGCTGGTTTTTCATAGTTTTTTTAAATGGCGCCTAA